TCCACTGCCCACACCCAGACTGTTCCCAGAGGTGAATTCTGTTACCATTTTTTGGTATGACCACCTTTTCAGAGTTAAATATAAACAAGCGTATTATTCCTTAACTTTTGACAGTTATATAATAGAGTTTACTATTTTTATCTCCTTTTATTGAGGTTCAGAACTTGCTAAAGAGAACAAAGTCTTCGTCGTTACAGAAAGCACAGAAGTAGAGGATGGGGGATTTGGGAAAGCTGGTGAAAAGGCACAAACTTTTATAAGTACTAGGGATGTGATGTATATGGTGACTACAGTTAACACTATTATATGGTATATTTGAAAGTTGCTGAAAGAGTAAGTCTTAAAAGTTCTCAACACAAAGAAGAAAACACCTTTTTTTTTCTTATCCAAATGATGATGAGAGTTAACTAAATCTATTGTGGTAGTTATTTCACAATATATAGAGATACTTACGCTGTATACCTTAAACTTACACAGTGCTCAATGTCAACTTTATTGCAATAAAACTGAAAAACAACAACAAAAAACTCCTTAAATAAATAAGGTAAAAATAACTAGAGTAAGTAGATATTCTAAATGTTAATATATCTGCTTTCATAATTAGGACATCTTATAGGGGATCCCTTGGTGGCTCAGCAGTTTAGCGCCTAACTTTGGCCCAGGGCATAATCCTGGAGACCCAGGATGGAGTCCCACGTCGGGCTCCCAGTGCATGGAGCCTGCTTCTCCCTCTGCCTGTGTCTCTGCCTCTCTCTCTCTGTGTGTCTCTCTCATGAATAAGTAAATAATATCTTAAAAAAAAAGGACATCTTATAAACCATGGTTTTATTTTTTCATTTATTTGATCTATAGTAGTTGGTAAACAAACTGAATATTGAGATTTTTTTGAAGTAGAATTTTTGTTAAAAGAATTTTATCTATCATCTATCTATCTATCTATCTATCTATCTATCTATCTATCTATCTATCATCTATCTATGTAGGGGTAGAGCATAGAGGGAGAGGCAGACGGAGCAGCAGACCCTGCTAAGCAGGGAGCCTAACACAGGACTCTATCTCAGGACCCTGAGATCATGACCTGAGCCAAAGGCAGCTGCTTTAACTGACTGAGCCACCCGGATTCCTTTAAAAGTAGAATTTTTAAAACATAATGTATATTGTTTTTTTTCCTCTGTAAAAACAAATTTTAAAAATTTATAAGTTATTCCTTTTCTACAAAAAAAAAAAAAGTTATTCCTTTTCTAAAGGCCAATACAGATAAATAAGCCAACCACAGGCCACATCAGCACAACTTATAAGCTATAAGAACTGAGAATGCCTAGAGCATTTAAGACAAAGTAATCATTTTCTTTAGACTATAATATATTGATAAACCTTTATTGACCAAAACTTCATTTCATGTCCTTGTTTCCTTCTAAAACAATCACTAAGAGCACACATCTACACACAGGCATATGATGGTTGAGAAGGATAAAAAAAATTTTTTTTTAACAGTAAGGCAATATTTTAAGGCTTACGATTTTTATTGACTCGTTCTAAATATTGAAGTCTTTGTTACCCTCAAATTATTAGAAATAACTTAAAAATATTGCCCATGAAAATGCCTTTGAGGCATAGGAATTGTTTTATTATGTAGACTAAATAAATGGAATAAAAGTATTTCTAAAATTTTCTATCATATACAGACATATACCCGTGGGTGCATATGCGTATATGTAGTATATATTGTATGTATACTATATATTACATGAATATAAAAATTTAGTATATATATTTAAGTATGTTAAAGTTATTAAGTCTGTATATATATATATAGAGAGAGAGAGATAGAGAATCACTTAATCCTCCATTACCCAGATGATTTCTTCTTAAGTATATGTTTGAGGGATCCCTCAAACCACCTGAGGGTGGCTCAGCGGTTTAGCTCCTGCCTTCAGCTCAGGGTGTGATCCCAGAGTCCCTGGATTGAGTCCCTGGATCGAGTCCCCCATCGGGCTCCCTGCATGGAGCCTGCTTCTCTCTCTGCCTCTGCCTCTTTCTTTCTCTCTGTGTCTCTCATGAATAAATAAGTAAAATCTTTAAGAAAAAAGAAAGAAAGAAGTGTTTGAGGCTACTGGGTGATCCAGTAATATTTTTCTTATTTAAGGGGAAGAGTATAACCTTATTCTTGATACTAGTCTAATTATGAATAACAATCCCATAAATGAAAATAATTGTGGAGCAAATTCTGATGATACAAATGCCCATTTCAGTTACTTACCACCTGAAAATTGTATTTGATTTAATCTTTAAGACTGACTTCTGCCCATCACTGTGTAATACCACATGCTAAAGAAATCTTTCGGCTATCAATTTGAGATCTTCTAAATGAAAAATTGTGATTTTTGCATAGAGAGATTTGAAACTGCTAGTGTCTTTTAAGTTCGGCTCTGAGGTTACCAGATCACTGTCTTTAAAAAAGTGGCTTGGGGGGTGCCTGGGTGGCTCAGCTGGTTAAGCGTCTGACTTTGGCTTAGGTCATGATCTTGGGGTCCTAGGATCGAGGCCCACATGGGGCTCTGTGCTCAGGCGGGAGCTGCTTCTCCCTCCTCCTCCCCACTTCCCCCAACTCATGCTCTCTTTCTTTTTTTTTTTTTTTTTTAAATTTTTTTTAAATTTTTATTCATTTATGATAGTCACAGAGAGAGAGAGAGAGAGGCGCAGAGACATAGGCAGAGGGAGAAGCAGGCTCCATGCACCGGGAGCCCGACGTGGGACTCGATCCCGGATCTCCAGGATCGCGCCCTGGGCCAAAGGCAGGCGCCAAACCGCTGCGCCACCCAGGGATCCCTCATGCTCTCTTTCTAATAAATAAATATTTTTTAAAAAAGTGGATCAAACATTTTTTTTCAGCGATACGTATTTATTTATTTGAGAGAGAGAGAGAGAGAGAGCGAGCACGAGTCAGGAGGGAGGGGCAGTGGGAGAAGAGAATCTCAAGCAAAGTCCCTGGTGAGCGTGGAGTCCTACGTTGGGCTTGATCCCATGACTCTGAGATCATGACCTGAGCCAAGTGAGCCACCCAAGTGCCACCAAACATTATTTATAATACAATATTTAAATCACTTTGTATCTCACTGAAATACAAGGATGTTTAAAGTTTCTTCAGGAATATTCTGTCCTCTGATGCTATCATTTGAATAGCCTAGTTTCCAGAGTTTTCCCCATACATTATATCATCCAATCCTTCCTACAGCCACCCGAATAGGTACGACTGCCATTTTGAAAGAGAAAACTGAACAATGGTCCTGAAACCAAGTCTTACACTGTCTCCATGAAACCAAGAAGGGACAGAATGAAGAGCAAATCCTTGGAACCATGTTTTTTTTTTTTTTTTTCAAGTCATGTTTTAAATATTACAATTTGTGAATTGTGTTTCACAGGTTTTCAATAAAAGAAGAGAGATGATTTTAGGGGCACCTGGGTGGCTCAGTTGGTTCAGCGTCTGCCTTTAGCCCGGATCGTTATCCCAGGGTCCTGGGATCGAGCCCTGCATGGGGCTCCCTACTCAGCAGGGAGTCTGCTTCTCCCTTTGCCCCTCCCCTCACTCGTGCTCTCTCAAAATAAATAAAATCTCTAAAAAAAAAAAAAAAAAAAAAGGAAATGTTTTTAATCCCATGTGTACTTATTTTGAAATAATTATAATAAAAACCATATTCATCTATTTACTCATCCAAGCCTTTATTAAGTACCTACCATATGCACAGTCCTGTGCAAAATATTAAGGGAATAATACAAAGATGAATTTTAAAATGATGCCAACTGGGCAGCCCAGGTGGCTCAGCGGTTTAGCACTGCCTTCAGCCCAGAGCATGATCCTGGAGTCCCAGAATTGAGTCCCACGTCGGGCTCCCTGCATGGAGCCTGCTTCTCCCTCTGCCTGTTTCTGTGCCTCTCTCTCTCTGTATGTCTCTCATGAATAAATAAATAAAATCTTTTAAAAAATAAAATAAAATAAAATAAAATAGTGCCAACTCTCAAAGAGTTTACAATTTAATTATAGTGACAAATAGTGTTAACATAAACTGTGGGAAGGAATTACAAGTAAACACGTGGCCTTGAGAAAAATCACCTTACTTCTTCATTTAAAGCATAAATTTTCAGTTGAGAAACATTGTTATTATATATATATACTTTAATTAGTTCATTCTCATTAAAGGAGATTGTTTTTAGAAAATAAAATGTCAAAAAGAAAAGAAAAGAAAATGTCTTACCCTATCATATGTTTATGTCTGGTTTTAATTTTTAAAACAAACATTTGCTTAAAGAAGAAAAATGATAGATTCATACAAATTACCATCATGCACAGAAAGACAAAATATATCCACAATAATGTATAAAAACTTAAGCACAACTGGGCCTAGTATTAACGAGTTAAATCTGAATTACTTTGGAGATTTGCTTTGGACAAGTTATTATGCACAATTCCATCATATATACAACAGAGTTGATATTTACCCCCAATTAAGATAATTCAGATGCTTATAATTATTTCTGTCATAATACACAAGTTAAAAAAATCTGGTATAAAAACTTTTCTAGGGATGCCTGGGTGGCTCAGCGGTTGAGCCTCTGCCTTCAGCCCAGGGCGTGATCCTGGAGTCCCAGGATCGAGTCTCACATCGGGCTCCCTGCATGGAGCCTGCTTCTCCCTATGCCTGTATCTCTATCTCTCTGTCTCTGATGAATAAATAAATAAAATCTTAAAAATTTTTTCCCTAATTTACATATCAAAAATAATGTGGAGTAAAACTAGGGATAAGAAGAAAAAGTCGTGATAGTATGGAAAATTTAACAACCAACAGTGCAGAAATGAACACGAATTTCTAAGTACCTATTTTTTTCTATATTTTATTACTTTAAAAAAAATGGCTCAGATAAGAAACTTAAAATACCCAGTAAAACAAGTATGAGAATTAATTTTGTGAGACGTATTGCAGAGGAAAAGAATGGGCAAATAGTATAATTTAAAAATATTTATTGATTCAGACTTCCCAAAAACATTTTTTCAAATCACCAAAAGCCAGTACTTCTTTCTGCTCTCAATGCCAAGCCATTTTTTCCCATTCAAATAAGGAAGTAGCAAATATGTTCAGAATTAATCAGTTTATGATGACAGCTATGATTCTCAAATGCTTTTTTAAAAATACAAGTAAGGTCAAAGTTGTAAACCATACATAGTGATTAAAAAACCTGAACAGGCAAAGCCTTACTCCAACTGACCCAACAACCATTCGGTTGGATTTGGCCTTTCCAGGCTACAGATGACTTTGCTCAAGAGCCTTGTACAGGTTGGAGGGCTCTCATTGATGTTGTTCTCACCATAAGCACGGATGCTAATGCCAGGGGCTGCCATCGACAGCGCGGGCACAGACAGGAGACATCCTGCTCAATCTCTCTTACTCCTTAACAGATTTCTCTTCTCCACTCTCTTCATCAGTTTCCTCTTTTTCCTTGTAAGAATCCTGGCTGTTCGTATCAATGAAATGATTTTCTTCCCCACTCTCTCTTTCTTCAACTTCTTCTTCTTCATCAAAGCTGGAGGAAGAAATTTATCAAACTTTCAAAGGAAAAATGATTTGGTCTAAAAGTCAACCAACGCTTTGCAACGTATATCATCATGGAGTCAGTCTTCCTCAAGGGCATGAGCTCTGATTTACCAAGACAGCTCTATAAACGTGCTAATTGGGAACTAATCTATTTCAAACCTTGTTTGGCTCTGTAAACTTCATTTGAAAGCATCTTATTATTTTCATCATTTATGTCAGTCAGAAATTTAAATTATTCTGTTTTAAAAAACAAGATGCTTCATCACCACGTAATATTTTCAATGTGCCAAGTGTTAAAATACCAATGTTTTACAACAGTTCACATGTATTGTGTTAGGTTAAAAGATCTTTTAAAGATATAGGACAGAATTTATTCTTTCCAGCAAGTAAGAATTTTTCCAAAGGTAAACCATTTAGATGTCCTATATATGTTACCTTTCTTTATCTTCAGTAGAATTCTTCATCTCTTGATTGCTGAAGTACTCAAATACTTTTCCACTTTGGCCTTTCTTTGAAACAAACTCATCAGATAGTCCTAATGCTTTTAGGGTGTTAGAATAACGTTTTTCTGCTGCCATTCTTGCATTTTTCTATAGGAAAGACAAACCTTTTTAGAGGAGAACAAAAGACTTTAAATTTTCATTAAAAATGTATGGGTTAAAAGCTCCAGTATTAGAAATTAAATCTAATAATCACAGTTGACTCAAAGTAAGCAAACCTTCTGACCAGCAATCCCACTCCCCAGCATATACTCAGAGGAACTCCTACATATGTACCCCAGAAGACGTGTACAAAAACGCTCAGGAAAGTACTACTTTTAACAACCCCAAACTGGAAACAACCCAAATATCTCTCAACAATAGGATTGATAAATAATGGTCTATTCACACAACGGAGTAAAATAAAGCAATGACAATAAATGAATTCTATTGTACACGACAGTATGGATGGATCTCATGAACACAGTACTAAGCAAAAGAAGTAAAAGACAAGAGAATACATAAAGAATGAATGACTCATTTACCTAAAGTCCCCAAAAGGGCAAAACTAAACCATACTGTGTAGGATGGTAAAACTGCAAAACACAAAAACAGTAATAACAAAAACCAGGAAATGCTTATCTCAAAAATTAGAATGGTGGTTACCTCTAGGGAAGAGGGAGAGGGTTTTGATCTGGTAAGGGTGCACAGGGTTTCTGGGGTACTGGTGATGTTCTGTGTTAACCTACGTAGTAGCCACGTGACCTATATTCTTTACATTATATCTGTTTTATATACTTTTTAAAAATATACTTTTATGACTGTTCAAGGAATCTGGAAAAACAAGGAAGAAAATAAGTTCGCAATAGTTGTCAGAGGGTTCTTCCATTTTATGTACCTACTGGAACTTTTAGTCTTTAAATGCTAGATCTCTAATCCATCAAAGATGATAATATCATCAATGTGGTTATCTTTACTCTGGAGAAATCAACGGATACAGCAAAAAGAACAAGAATTTAGAACTGAGTCCAATCTCCAGAATGTTATTTCCTGTCCTTAGGACCTGTGGACCTGTGATGACCCTCTCAGACCTAAAGCAGGTCAGGAGTCATCACAGTTCCTGAGACCACAGGAACTCTTGTGACCTTTCAAGGTCACAAAACGCCTGGGGTTCACTAGGGCCTCAGCTTTGGTCACCCTTTACCTTCCATGAGTGGATATGAACTAGTATAGGGCCAACAGTTGCCATGTGGACCTCCAGCTAAGGTAACTAGGATGGGCCAGCTCCAGTGCACTGATGGCATCCCATATTGGAAAGGGTGTGGGAGATCACCCAGTCTCACCCCCATACTTAACAAATAAGGACGGGGCACCTGGGTGGCTCAGTTGTTAAGCGTCTGCCTTCAGCTCAGATTGTCATCCTGAAGTCCCGGGATCGAGTCCCACATCAGACTCCCTGCATGAAGCCTGCTTCTCCCTCTGCCTGTGTCTCTGCCTCTCTCTCTCTCTCTCTGTGTGTGTGTCTCTCATGAATAAATAAACAAAATCTTAAAAAAAAAAAAAAGGAAATTAGAACACTCCCTCCACCCCCAGTAAGGTTGGGCAGTTTGCTTAAGGTCACAAGGACAGTGAATGGTAGAACCAAGGCTCTTGACCATTTCCTGGGTCTTTTCCATTTCACCATGCTGCTTTCTCTAAGTAGTAGTGCTCATCCTGGAGTTTGAAGGTAGCTTAAACCTGACTTTAGCAATGCAAGTGTCAGATATCTATTTGCCTAACCTAGGGACTCCAGCATACTGACGGACCACGGCATCTAATGTTCCATGAGGGAAATAAAGACTGATTACAATGGATAAGCTACCACCAGTGATTTCTGTGATGCTCTGGAAAACTGAAAACGTACCCAAACTGTTGCTAAAATGCACCTGCTATAAAATACAACAATTTTTAGAAAAGTTAATAAAATGCATCCAGAGGCTATGAACACCAACACACAGGCCTTGAGAACCGAAAGTCATGGCTAAGTGCGAAGATAAGAACTATGCCCCAAAGACTGTAGAGTAGAATAAAGAAAACCCAAATAACTCTTAATCTATTAAAAACATTTTATACTCTGATAAAAGCAAGTTAAATATAAAAGAGATTAAAATAATATCAAAGCCGGTACTCATTAACTCTTAATTTGAATTTGGTTCAGAATTTAGAATCTACGCAATCAGTAAACCTTGTGATTTCCAAGAAACAGGACAACATAGTTTGTTCTGTCCTGGCTGGTAAGCTTACTCTGCTAGAGAATAACTCAACAGCAGCAAGACCACAATTAGTGCTAATACATGGATAATGTATAAAGTTGTGAGTGGGTTTATTAAATAACAGCTGTTAATTAGCAGCAATAGTCACAGCAAAACAGACTGCAAGAAAAAAATGCACTAATTTATGTTAACAAAACCAAAGCAATGGTGAGTCACTGCCAGTCACTCTATATATAGAATTAATTACCTTTTAATATTTTATATCAAGGTGAGTAGTGTATAACTATTCTTAACTGAAATAAACATTTCCTCCTAGCATTTCACCATGCAAAAGAATTGTACAGACTACAAGATAAAAGGAACAATGAAAATAACTATGATTATTTTATTTTACTATCAAAGACTGCAAAAACCAAAACAGAACAAAACAAAAAACAAGTGTTGCTTCTTCTGAAAACCAAAATAATGTACAATGATTAAAGTTTGTCTACAGTCAGTGCCCTCATTTGAAGGGGAAAAATATTTATTTTTTGTAATCATAAGTTTCATTTACAGTAATTCTTTCATTTATTTAATTACTGAGTGCTTATTTTGTAAAAAGCCCTCATGAGAGGTAGTGGGTGTATATGGAAAGAGAACAGTGTTTTTGGACAAAAGGAACAGCAGAGATAAGAGCCAAAAGTGGCAGAAGTAGAATCAGCTATGAAACTAACCTGTTTTCAACATGCAAAATTTCTTTATGGGTTTAATTTCACACACACTACTTATTTTGCCTCACTTTCTCTTGTGCTTAGAAGCAGTGGGAATTCACAGCATGGCACAACAGCTTACTCATGCTGAGACTCATCACTATCAAAGACTGCAAAAAACAGTGCTCTCAGCCCAGGTTAATCCTAGAAAAAAAATGAGAGGTCATTACCTGGCTAATTTGATCCTAACAGTTCAGTTTTGGTTCAACAAATGTTTATTAACATCTCTGTGCCAGAGGATATCCTAGGTGGTGGGTTCTAGGAATACAAAGATTTGACCACAACCTTTAAAAGTAACTAGCTAGAAGGGAAGAGAGATCCTGAAACATATCATTTCCATACAATATAGCAGGAGCAAAGACAAAGGCATGCAGAGGTTAATAAAAAACACAGAAATGGGGGATCGCTGGGTGGCGCAGCGGTTTAGCGCCTGCCTTTGGCCCAGGGCGCGATCCTGGAGACCCAGGATCGAATCCCACGTCAGGCTCCCAGTACATGGAGCCTGCTTCCCCCTCTGCCTATGTCTCTGCCTCTCTCTCTCTCTCTATCATAAATAAATAAAAATTAAAAAAAAAAAAACCAGAAATGGGCACCCAATTCAACCCAGGAAGCAATTCAAGTAATTTTATATGAATACTTGAAAGATCAGTATGAAAAAAAGGAAGAGGCTCTAAGAGTGTTCAGAAAAAGCATGAATAAAGAAGTTTGGAACTTGTAGTCTAGTATGGTCTGAAAGTAAAGGATGGTCATGGTGAGGGGGCAGGGGGTGTGTTGGGGTCGATAAACAAAGAGGTTAACAGGAATAAGAATGTAGAGGATTCTATACACCAGGCTAAGAGTCATGGAGTCATCTTCTGGGAAAGAGCAGGACAGCTTAGTCTTAATTGTTTGGAAGCAGACTGACTTGGGTCCAATCCTAGTTCCATTACTAACTATAAACCTTACTAGTTACTTACCTTCTTTGAACTTCAGTTTTTTCCTCTGTAATATAAGAATACCCACTTTGTAGTATTTGAAGAAGACAGTGATAAGGCCTTTTGATATTTTTCATTGAAAATGAGAATGAGTAGAATCAGTGAAAATGGATGATTGTCACTAATATCAGAGGTTATTTACTACCTATCCAGGGTAACATTTTGGCAAGGGAACAGGAATGGCAAAGTGAAGATATGATGGGTGGCTCTGCAAAGAACAAGGCCAGAAAACTAGTCAAATCACTACAATAACTCAGAGAAGAGACAACAGAGGTTTCACATAGCATTTCATTATTGAGAATGAAGAAAGGCAGATCCAAAAATTATTTAGGAAGAAAATTTGTCAGGTCTCTCAGTGGCAAGTGAAAGAGGAAGGAAAAGTGGTTACCAGTCTCCAAAACTGTGGCCCAACAAAAGTAGGAAATCAAAGAGGAAGATCTAGTTTGAGGCAAGATGGATGTAAGATGTCTATGGGAAATCTGTGTAGATATAACTACCAGACAAGCAGTCGGGAGCTGGAAATAACTACTTTGAGCTAAAAGTCAATCACTTTCTGCTAGGTAATTCAGAACAGTTTATGATGATTTTTCCCTTTAAAATTGAAACTAAGAAATTAAAAAAGGAAACCCACTCCTTAAAATGAAAAGCATTATATAAATTTCCAAATCTGTAAGTAAACGGGTCGGGTCCCATAACTTTGAGAGATTATAAATGTAAATTCACCTATAATACGTGCCCCTGTCCTCAGTGTTTCATTAAGAAGGGCAGTCCTATAATGCTGGCAGGAAGCTCCAAATGCAACAGCTTTTACAAGGTTACAATACAGCACCTGTAACCTCCAGTGAGTCTGTCGATCGTTAAGCTATGTCACCCATAAGAACACCTCCTTTGTGAGTACAAAGGAGAAGATGATGTGAAATGGACAGATACCTCTTAGGGGGAGACTGTAAAACTGAGTATAAATATAGTAAAATCTGGGCAGCCCCGGTGGCGCAGCGGTCTGGCGCCGCCTGCAGCCTGGGGCGTGATCCTGGAGACATGGGATCGAGTCCCACATTGGGCTCCCTGCATGGAGCCTGCTTCTCCCTCTGCCTGTGTCTCTGTCTCTCTCTGTGTTGCACATGGATAAATAAATAAATTAAAAAAAAAAAACAAAAAAAATATAGTAAAATCAGAACTCACTGTCCATAGGACCAAATTATTTTTCCAATGAAAAGAAAGTCATTTTGGTAATTGTAGATAAGAATGAAAATTATAGACTCACTTAAAAAAACTGATCAACAGGGCAGCCCCAGTGGCTCAGTGGTTTAGCGCTGCCTGCAGCCCGGGGCGTGATCCTGGAGACCCTGGATCAAGTCCCACGTCAGGCTCTCTGTATGGAGCCTGCTTCTCCCTCTGCCTGTGTCTCTGCCTCTCTCTCTCTGTGTCTCTATGAATAAATAAATAACATCTTAAAAAAAAAAACAAAACAACTGATCAACAAAATGAAAAGGGAACCTACTGGATGAAGAAAATATTTGCAAATGATATGTCTGATAAGGGGTTAGTATGCAAAATATATAAAGAACTCATAAAAGTCCTAGCAAAAAGCCAAATAATCCAATTTAAAGGATCTGAACTGATATTTTTCCAAAGAAAATATTCAAATGGCCAACAGGTACATGAAAAGGTGCTCAACATCACTAATCATCAGGGATATGCAAATCAAAACCACAATGAGGTATCACCTCACACTTGCTAGAATGGCTAATATAAAAAAGACAAGAGATAACAAATGCTGGTGAGGATATGGAGAAAAGGGAGTCCTTGTGCACTGTTGGTAGGAATGTAAATTAGTACAGCCACCCTGAAAAACAGTATGGAGGTTCCTCAAAAAATTTAAAACAGAAATACAATACAATACAGCAACATCCAACTTCTGTGTATTTATCTAAAGGAAAAATAATCACTATGTTGAAGTGCTATCTGCACCCACATTCATTGCAGCATTATTTACAATGGCCAAGGCATGGAAACAACTTAAGTGTCCATCAAAAGAAAATGGTGTATATTTTCAGAATACTATTTTCAGAATGGTGTATATTCAACAGAATACTATTCAGCCATAAAAAAGGAAATCCTGCCATGAAAATGGTGTATATTTTCAGAATACTATTTTCAGAATGGTGTATATTCAACAGAATACTATTCAGCCATAAAAAAGGAAATCCTGCCATATGCAACAATACGCAACAAGATTGTAGCTCTTAAAGGCTTTGAGGCCTTTATGCTTAGTGAAATAAGTCAGACAGAGGAAGACAAATACTGTATGATCTCACTTACATGTAAAATCTAAAAACAAAAACAAAACAAAGTCATAGAAAAATAGATCACATTTGTGGTTACCAGGGGAATTGGATGAAGACGGTCAAAGCTATAAACCTCTAAGTATAAGAAAAATAAGTACTGGGAATGTAACGTACAACATGATGACTGTAGTTAACACCACTGTATGGCATATTTGAAAACTGCTAAGAGAGTAAATCCTAAAAGTTTGGTTAACTATATGAGATGAGGATTATTAACTAAATTTACAGTAGTTACTATTTCACCAAACATCTATGTCAAGTCACATGCTGTACATCTTAAATTTACACAGTGCTCTAAGTCATATATCTCAATGAAACTGAAAAACAAAACAAAACCTGGCAGAAATAGATCTGATTCCAATTAGCATTTTGTTTCATTTTTTAATTCTTCAGACTTCCAAGTAGTATCATGAAGATTTGCCTTAATAAATGGCTAAATTGGTACTAAAAAAAAAAAAGATCAGCCATGAAGAACAGGTTGTGAAACTATTATTTTGAATATGCCTGCAGTAGCAGTGTGTTCTTTATCAAGCTAACATGCCTCCTCAACAAGATTTGATGCTCAGATTTAAGCAAAAACTTACTTGACTGATTTGATGAAGCTGTCACAGAAACAATAATATGTCTCAATAAATTATAGAACATATAAGAAAAATGGACTGTAAGTTAGGCGTTAGAGATATATTAAAAAAAAAAAAAGCTGATTGTAGCTCTTAAATTCCAACAAACACAACCTGAGCAACTCTTTCAAACAGTAGCGGCCTGTTTTTTAATTTTTCTTCTCTTTCTTCTAGTTCTTGTTGGTATTCTCTCATCCTTTCCTTTTCACTCTTTCTAAAATCAAATAAAAGGAAGGGAATTTTAAAAAGAAATAATAATTTGCACATACAACATTTAGCTTACATGACAAATCAGAAATTAAATTATGAGCATGGCTTACAATTTACCACAATACCTTTCCTAGACTGGTAAATTTTTATGAAATGCAGAATAAAATGCTTTAAACTGGCCTGAAGAGATGAATAAAGGCCCTCTTAACTCAATTTTAAGTGCAGAAAACCAAGAAAACTTAGTCCAAATTAGATATCTTCTCCTTAAGGAATTTCTTCTGAAAAACAAGATCTTGCTTTTTTCTTTTTCCCCTAAACAAGATCTTCTATAGGTGGGTGGCAAAGTTAATTAAATGAGAGCAGGTCAGGGGAAAATGAGGAGTAAGGGAATAGAACATATAGAGAAAAAGGAACCAAAATACTAAGTTCACAGTAAATGTACTTACTATTTGGGAAAAATCCTATAATGAATAAAATATGATATTCTATATAAAATAACATGTAAAACATACTAACTCTACCAAGATAATAAGATTACATGGATTAGAGAAAAGAATTATACTACAGAATGATACTTATGATTAATTTATACACAAAATTGGTATTAGGAAAAATCCAGTTTACTTTCTTGGGGTGGACAGTATTTTTCTAAAAAATTCTGCTCAAGTTTATCAAATTAAGTTCCCTGTATCGAATTACACTGATATACATTATATGGAATATAAACATAATATACATTATAAAGAAATATAATTGTTATAAATAATATATATTTAAAAAGGAATACCAATAATAAGTAAAAACCAATATATAGATTGGGGGTACTTATAAATCAGATTAAAAATTAATAAATCATATTACTTATCCAGCTTTGGGGGAGATATTTTCCTACTTAAACATGAACATTTTTTTTTTAAAGATTTTTTTTATTTATTTATTTATTCATAGAGACAGAGAGAGAGAGGCAGAGACACAGGCAGAGGGAGAAGCAGGCATCATACAGAGAGCCTGATGTGGGACTTGATCCAGGGTCCCCAGGATCACGCCCTGGGCTGCAGGCGGCGCTAAACCGCTGCGCCACCAGGGCTGCCCTAAACATGAACATTTTTTACATAAAAATGTTCCTCTGGAACACTGGTTTTCAAACTTTGTATTGCAGAATTCCAGTGTTCTGTGAAGGGGTTCTGCAAATATTTTTATTTATTTATATTTTATTTATTATATCAAAACTCCAAGAATTGCAACACATACCACTAAACACTTACACACGTGTTAATTGACATATCACATAACTGATGTTAATTAACATCAATGTGTTAATTTGTGACCTCAAATTTCATGCACCTTAGAACAAAGCTCTTCAACAGACCTATTTATTGAACAATATTCTGAGATTACACAGCAAGCTATTAAACGAGAGCTTTACTGTATGAGTCAAGATTTTTCAGTGTTAACTATACTGGAATTAAAATACAAAACTTAAAAAGATTTTTCTCAATATCGTTACAGTGCAACCAAAAGTAGCATAAAGAAGGGGCGCCTGGCTGGCGCAATCAGTAGAGCATAGGACACTTGGTCTCAGATCATGTCATGTTCGGTCCCACAGTGGGCATGGAGTCTACTTAAAAATAATATAGAGTAAAAAAAAGGTTAGATACCGACATAAGATTACAACTATTAACTATGGCCACGATATAAAACATTTCTGCTCAGCAACATGGCTTCAGGGTCCTCACCATGAGGTGAGGTGAGTGAGTTTGAGTGTGTGTGTGTGTGCACATTGAGTGTAAGTAATTGATAGCAACTTGAATCCAGAAACTAAACTACTAAATTCTTTTAGGATACCTGAGAGATTTGACTCTGGATTTAGACATCTGAGCTAAACTTTGATGGGAGTCATAAGCTTTAGCCCGGATTGTCAGGAGTTTCTGCAATTCTTTCATTCTTTGCTTCTGTTTAGTTAGGATCCGATTTCTCTCTTCTTCCAACATTTTCTTTTCCTCAAGTGATCTCCTGAGGGCAACAAACTAAGGCTTAATTCACTTTAAGCCAGTAAGAATGTTGTTCAGCAAAGATTTAACACAGGAAAATTCAAGCGTTGAAACTAAAGGCAACCTTTTGAGAAGGCTTTGACTTGTGAAATTGGAAATCAACAGGCTGACTAACCTTTTCTATCCCAAAGATTGGAAATGGAAAATATACTCATTTCTTAGAAGAACATCCTCTGGCAAAATGCTCTATATTATCTACCAAAAATATGTTACCAAATATAACTTCTTCATATTTTCAAATTGACTGACATAAAATCAATATGGCTACAAACACTGTTTTAGCAACCGTGAGTCAGCTAGTGCTATATTCTAGTCGTTTACCTTGTGGCTTGTTCTCTCCCTCTGGAAGATACTGTGGGCATTGGAGGGGGGCAGTTACAAGGCACAGGCTTTGCACTTGCACTTCTTCCTGGTGACTTGTTTCTTGGAGACAGAAAAGGCCGTGTTTCTTTTAAATGTTCCTCATTTGTTGCAATGTCTGCCAAAATTTTCTCTCTTTTAGTGGATGCAGTGGAGGCTGAGTGAAGATTGGGTGGTTTATGGGAGGCTGGGAGTTTTGAACACTTCTGTTCTGAGAGGTGTTTCTGGTATCCCTCAGGAAGCTTTTCAAAATCAGCAATCTGGCATCTAAACTTGTGTGTACACTTCAGCCTTTCAGGCTGCTCAGGACACTTGAGCTTCCTTGGAGCACAACTTTTGTGACCTGACCTAGAAGGCAAAGGGGGTGGATTCTGCAAGAGCTCTTGGGCTTTCAGCTGCGTCATAATGTCTCTATAGAGCTCCTCTTCTTTTAACTTCTCTTTGGTAGCTGAGCCATAAGTAGATCGAGGCACAGGTCTGGCCTTAAATCGGTTTGTTTTCTTTTTAGACTTAAACAAGTCTCTCAGCTTCTTTTCCCGGATTGCTTGCTTCTGTTCCTCTCTTGCAATGAACTTAAATGGCTTTTGTGAGGCCAGAAGAGCTTCTTTGTTCTTTTCCTTCAAACGCTTTCTGCGGTCTTCATTTTGCTTGACTAGTTCATGATAAAGGGGGAAAAAGACAAATGCAGGAACTGGAGTGGCTCGGAATTTTTTCTTACACTCTGATTCTTCTTCTTGCTTTTTGAGCAGCTGGTGTACCATTTCAATATCTGATTTTGATTTCATGTTCTCTTCTTTCTTCCTCTGTTCCCTAATCATCATCTGAAAAGGCTCAGGAACTGTAATCTTTGGCGCCCATTCTCTTGGTTTCTTCTTTGTTTTTTCAACGGCTGGGAAGTAAGCATCTTCACACCGAATATAATCTTCAACAGAAAAGTTTGTCCACATGTTGTTGATGAGCTCTTTTGCGTAGCTCATCACCATCCTCTTTTTCTCAGGATACTCTTTTTCTAAGTTGGGCAACTCGTCTTCAGAGGAAGACATAATCAAGGAGGAAGACGGCCCTAAATCAGGCTCTGAAGATGTCATTAATGATATAGGGTGATAAGAGTTCTTTTCTGATTCAGACCTAAATAAGAATAATAATTAAGTTACTCTCTCAGTTGCATGTGACCAAATATAAAAATTAAGAATTATAAGATCAAGGTATTATCAGTTAGAAGGCAGGAGCTGGATACATAAAGCTTATAATTATCACTTTTATTTAGAATAGAGCTAAGAGATCCTCTAATTTAACTCCCTCATTTTACAGGGGAACCGAGACAGCAGTGGCTCCTTGTGGCTAATGTCTATTAAATTCTCCACATATTTCTCAGAGTCATCATCTTAAAACATACATCTAGTCATGTCATTCCCCCTCTTGAAACTCTTCTATGATTTGCCATTGTAACAGAGTCAAGTCTAGATCATAAAGCCCCTTTAAGACTAGCCCCTGGCCACCTTTCCTGTTTCACCTCTCTCGCCCTCCAGTTACTAATCTTAAGTCATATCCAATCACATGAAGCTCCTCACATATACCATGATCTCTCATACTACCATGCCTCTGCACATGTGGTCTGTTGCCTAGACGCCCACTCCTTGCTTCCTGCATCTGTACAGCTACTCCTCTTGGAGTCCTGAGATCGAGTCCCACATCGGGCTCCCGGCATGGAGCCTGCTTCTCTGCCTATGTCTCTGCCTCTCTATGTCTGTCATGAATAATTAAATAAAATCTTTTAAAATAAAGCAAAAAGTACACCTTGAGATACAATGGTGGGTGCTCTCGAGAGAGCTGTATCTATACTTTATATTTTTAATGAGTTCATGTTTTTTTGTTTCTTAAACTTAGCATGGCGCCCAACATGGGGCTTGAACTCACAATTCTGAGATCAAGAGCTGCGTTGAAATCAAGAGTCAGATGCTTAACTGACCCAGGTACCACCCAGGTACCCCTGAGTTCATGTTAATCCACATAATGTAAAGGACTTTTAAAATTAAATTTTAATATTTTCACTTAAAAATGGCCCAGCCTGGCTGGCTCAGTCATTAGAACATGCAACTCCTGAACTCCAGGCTGTAAGTTCAAGCCCCATATTCGGTGTAGAGATTACTTAAAATCTTTAAAAAATAAAAATAAATAAAAATGGCCCAGGCTAAATATTTTGACACATATCTACAGTTCTATGAGTGGCAGGTCAGAGAAAAAACGACTAAATGACCCTAAAAACAAGAAGAAGCCATTGGTGGATAAGCCATTACACATTTTTTTTTAAAGATTTTATTTATTTATTCATGAGAGACACAGATAGATAGATAGATAGATAGAGAGAGAGAGAGAGAGAGAGAGGCAGAGACAGAGGGAGAAGCAGGCTCCATGCAGGGAGCCCGACGTGGGACTCGATCCCAGGTCTCCAGGATCACGCCCTGGGCCAAAGGCAGCGCTAAACCGCTGAGCCACCCGGGCTGCCCCCATTACACATTTTAAATAAAATCCAACCTCTGTATATCATTAAAAGTACAAAAGGATAGTTGAGAGAAAACATTCTGAAATACGTCTGTTCTGCATATTTAAGTATACATTTTATTTTACAGCCCACAAATAATGTTATGTACAAACTTACCTGGAAGAGACACTAGAAGCTTCTCTGATGATCACTGGCTGAACTTTTAAATTTAATTTATTCTGGTACATTTTCTCTAACTTTGCCATAGTTTCCAAGTGGGCAGCTTTCAGCTCTTCTAGTTTCCTAAAATACTCTTCATTAGAGTGGCAAATATCAGAAAAGTCCACAAAGTCCTCATCACTTATTTGTGTTTGTTCATCTACCTCAGAAATATTGGTGTTAAAATCAGCCTGGTAGGAGGAAAAAAAATCTGTTAAATGGTGTTTAGAACTGAAGACAAATTAAACTGACACCAATTCCCAATGCTGCTTCTTAAAGTGCATGCTTAATTAGATTATGTTACTTGTGGGTACCTACATATAATGGATTATAAGTTACTTGTGGACTATGTACATTTTCCCTTAATGATATTTTATTAGGAATGAGAGATGGGGCACCTGGGTGGCTCAGTCAGTTGAATCCAACTCTTGATTTCCATTTCAGTTATGATCCTGGGGTCATGAGAGCAGCCTAAGCCAGGCTCTCTGCTCAGCAGGGAGCATGCTTGCAATTTTCTCTCCCTTTGCCCCTCCCCCTTTTGCTAAAATAAACGAATACTAAAAAAAAAAAAAAAAAAAAAAAAGAATGAGAGAGAGAGACATCAGGAAATAAATGCGATTTAATTCATTTTATAAAGAATAGTTAAATTCCCAGATCATATACTAACCCGTAACAGGATAGAACCAAACCACCCTTTATAAAGAGCCTCTTTCTGAGTTGTAAGTTTTAACTGAGATGAAGAAAAACATTCTTCCTGCTGCAAACCAACCAAACACAGCGCAATATCCAGCCCTAGCAGGCCTTCTGCAGCGTGGGCCCCAAGGGCGTGCCCTTGGAGAGAAGACAGGGAGAAAAAGAAGTCAGGGAAATGGGAGAATGGGGACAGGAGAAGGGAGGGAACAATTTCTCATTGGTTCACCAAGGAGATGCCTCAGGAGGGAATAGGAGGGAGTGAAGGGGGGTAGGAGGGACCATCAGAACAGCCACTTCTGGGGCAATAAGAGCAATAGCTCCCATGGGTGACAGACTTTGGGAGTGACAAGAGAACAAGAGTAGCACAGTATAATAACCACAGAGTGCAGCTATGCTATATATAGGTCATCCCTAGAAGGGTCTGACTATCCTCCTCCCCCATTCCTTTCACAGTTGTTTTTTTTTTTTTAATTTTATTTATTTATTCATGAGAGACACAGAGAGAGAGAGAGAGAGGCAGAGACACAGGCAGGGGGAGAAGCAGACTCCCCACAGGAAGCCTGATGCAGGACTCGATCCCAGGACTCCAGGATCAATACCTTGGGCTGAAGGGAGGCGCCCCACCACTGAGCTACCCAGGTGTCCCTCAAAGTTCTTTAACTGAAGCAGCTAACGTGGTAAAATTGCATTTTCTCCATAAATAAAAATTTATAAATATTTTCTCAGTTGAGAAACAGTTGAAGTTATTTATGATGGTATGCATAAAAGGCTGCTGACCATGGTTTTAAATTTAACTTAGGGCCTGAAAGACTTAAAATGAAAAAAGCATATTTGCCATAGAAAATTATAGATATATAACAATCTGATAAGACTCTAGGAAATAAAATTGAGTACCTTTCTCCCAACAGGAAAATTCAGAACATCAATTGTATACAAATAGTTATAGGTATGTTTTTTTTTTTTTAATTTATTTATGATAGTCACACACACAGAGAGAGAGAGAGAGAGAGAGAGAGAAAGAGAGGCAGAGACACAGGCAGAGGGAGAAGCAGGCTCCATGCACCGGGAGCCCGACGTGGGATTCGATCCCGGGTCTCCAGGATCGCGCCCTGGGCCAAAGGCAGGCTCTAAACCGCTGCGCCACCCAGGGATCCCCTGTTTTTTTTTTAAGGGACTAAAACCAGTGTATAAGACGCCAGTGTTGTACCACTTGAGGTAACTTAAAAAAAGTGAAATGGGGTGCCTCAGTCGGTTAAGTGTCTGCCTTCAGCTTAGGTCATGATCCCAGGGTCCTGGGATCGAGTTCCACATCAAGGCCTCTATCCCTGCCCAGCCTGCTTCTCCCTCTCCCCTGCTTGTGCCCTTAATTTCTCTCTCTAAAATAAATACATAAAATCTAAAAACAAAAAAAGAAGAAGAAGGAGAAAACAAGTTTTCCTCAAAAGAACTGGTATGCGGAAATTTATGTCTTAACAAATTTATGTCTCAAAGGAAATTTATGTATGTCCTACAACTCAAGTCAGAGAATTTTCTGATGTCTTCTGTGGTTTCTGTACGTGTTCCTCATCATTACTTTTTTAGTCATGGAGCTTAGTTCTTAGATAAGAGCTTTGTTAACTTCTTCATTCATTAAATATTTAGAGACGCCCAGCATTCAGCTGACTCCTGATACAGATTAGATAAAAATTCCACCTTCTAGAAGCTTCCAGCTAGTTTAGAACAGGTATATAACTCAGTAGCGGGCTTTAAATGAGACGGAACTCCTGACTCCTGTCCACAAACTGCTCCCAGCTGTTCTGAAGAGGGAGACAGACGAGTGACCATATATGTCATGATATAAGACACCATGAGAACTCATAGAAAGAATGCCTAACTGACTAGGAAGGAAAAAAAAAAAGGTAGAATTTGTAGAGGTGAGCCAGACTGAAGGCATAAGGATGGGTGAGGACAGAGTGTGCCAAATCAAGGGAGCAGGGAAAAACAGAGACATCTGAGGCACAGTGCTAGAACATTCATCATGATGTTACCTCCTGACAATGCAACTTGCAGGTAGTATGATCTCAAGGAAACTGAGGCTCAAAGGAGGCAGGTGACCCACCTGCAGTTGCACAGCTAGTAAGTAGCAGAGCTGGTACTCAATTTCAAATCCCTTGTGCTCCAAAGGCACACCACACTCCTCCCAAGGGCAGGGGGGTTTTTTAGCCACAAGTGGAATGAACAGGCATTATGTGCTCAGAGGGAGGTAGTCTGAGTGGCAGTGGGGAGCAGGGTATAAGGAGCCCAGATGAGGGTGGGAAACAAGGTGAAAAAGGTAAGTCAGGAGCCACCAAGAGCCCAGGTGGCCAGGCCATAGCCAACAGGAGCCTTGGAGAATGTGACCAGAGGAGTGACATATTAATGCTCAGAAGGAGTCTTCTTGTAGCGAGTAGGAGGGAGTGAAGGAAGGCAAGGCTGACAGTAGTTAATGGGCTACAGCAAAGGCCCGAGTTAGAGATATGAAGGGCAAAATGAAGGGGGCAGCACCAGGGACAAAAGAAAGGAGGCTGTCTTCAGAGATTTAGGAAGCTGAAGTATCAACTCGACAATGGTCTGGCTGTGGGCAAGAAAGTAAAAAGATTTCTGTCTGGAGTGCTGTCTAGGTAGATGGTGGTGCTGCCATTCATCGATACAGGGGATACAGCAGAAAAGAGTGTTTTAGGGAAAGGAAACTAATCTCTGTCTTAGACACACTAAATTTCAGGGATTAGTCAGGCAGCCAGGTGGTCAGAACTCTGGGAGGTAAATATATCTGGAGAGCTGCTAATAAGGCTGGGCTGGAGAGGGAGATATGGCAGGTACCAGGGCACACAGAAGTGACAGGTGCAGCTTTGGATGTGGATAGGGTTGCCCAGGGAGAGGGGAACAATGAGAGACGAGAACCTGAGGATGGAAATGCTGGCAAACACCAACATTTAATAAGCAGGGAGAGGAGGACTGATATGAAAGAGAAAGTGGTCACGACAGATACAAAGACCAAGTGATAAGAGTATTCAAACCAAAGGAGCTTTAGCTTGGTTTGAGTTTGGAAGATAAAGGAAGGCTGCCTGGAGGAGGTAATGTCCGAGATGAGTCAAAGAATGGAAGAATCTGGAGGGTCAAAGAGAGTGTAGGGGAAAAAGGCAAAGGGTACTCCGGACAAACTTCCAGATGTGTTTAAATGACATGAGTAAAAGCAGCAAGGGCGGACAGTAGAGTGGGGAGCAAGGTGCACAAAGTTGAAGGCTAAGAGCAGAGTAAAAGACATAGAGCAATTTTGAGGAGCGGTTGTCCATTTCTCATCTAACTACTGGCTCCCAACCACTGGCTGGTCACCTGGTTTCAGTTCCCTCATAACCCTTCAATAAGAAGCACTCGTATGGAAGTTAAATACCTTTTCAGTTTGGAGCGCTGTCATGCCTTGGGAGAAGGATTACAGGCGTGGGGTCCGAATTCTCATTTGAGCCTAGGTTCTGCACTCCTTAGCCATGTGACATGGGCATTTACCTTCTGAACATTAATTTTATGACACATAAGGTAGGTGCCAGGTGTATGCTATTGTCTTGTGGCTCCCACACCTCCCTTCTATACCCTGCTCTGTGATGCTGGGGATGGGACTCCAAAGAGGGTTTCTGCTTTGCCAGCTGCTCCCCACTATATTTGCCAAAAGTAAGATTAGAGGGAAACTGCAAGGCTGGAGGAGGAAGGGACTGTATTCCTTTCTGTTAGTTCTCCATCTGCTTGAGCCTCCCCGACACCGGTTCTTCCCCTGGGCAGCAACAGTAGTTCATCCTAGTAGCAGTAGTTGATTCCAGTTTGCAGTTTTTCCAATGCTCACAGCATCAGCAAAATCACCTCAGGACCTCACTTGCTGTTCCCTCTCCCTGGGATGCTGTTCCTCTAGATATCGGCATGGCCAATTTGCTCACTCCTTCAGGTCTTAATGAAATGCCATCTTCTCAACAAAGACTTCACTGTCTACTGTATTTGAAATTACAACGTCCCTCCCCACTCATTGTCAGTCTCCTTTTTCTGGTCTTTTTTCCTTTTAAAGTCAGTTCTTTATCTTTTAAAAGATTTTATTTTTTTTTATTTTTTTTATATTTATTTATTTATTTATTTATTTATTTATTTATTTATTTATGATAGTCACAGAGAGAGAGAGAGGCAGAGACACAGGCAGAGGGAGAAGCAGGCTCCATGCACCGGAAGCCCGACGTGGGATTCAATCCCGGGTCTCCAGGATCGCGCCCTGGGCCAAAGGCAGGCGCCAAACCGCTGCGCCACCCAGGGATCCCTAAAAGATTTTATTTATTTAAGAGAGAGAGAATGTGCACACACATGGGGGGGGGCAGAGGGAGAGGGAGAAGCGGACTCCTCGCTGAGCAGGGAGCCTGATGTGGGGTTTGATCCCGGAACCCTGGGATCATAACCTGAGCCGAAGGCAGACACTCCCTACTGAGCCACCCAGGTGCCCCTCTGT